AGAGGCCTCACTGCTGTCTGTTTGCTCATCCTGGACTTTGTCTCACAGAGCAGCTTCTGGGAAAGGGTTTATTGTCCTTAGGCCAGGGTGACCTTTTGGCCTGTTTTCTGGCCTTCGTTGAAGATGAGATGGATCGACATGAAAACAGTACGTTTGAGGTTCTGTTTATTTCCTGCATATTTCGGTACGGACCGAGCCCTGTGGCACATTGGGCATGATGTCAGGTGCCAGGATACCACTCTGAGGAAATGTGGGTACCTGGCTGTGTTCTGGGAGCTGAGGCCTTGGGAAAGGGGGTCAGACAAGTCAAAGGGAGCCCAGAGTGGTGGGAGTGGACGAGGAGCATGAGCAAGTGCTGCAGACCTTTGGAGGGGTGGAGCTCTCCTCCCATGTGGCTAGGAGAAGGGTCCTGGGAGGTGCCTGGGAAGAAGCAGCACTTGGAAAGGAGAGGGTGGGAAGTGGGACGTGTGCTTGGGGCAGGGGGTGGCGCCTGGGTGATGGGGAGGGACACTAGGAAGGCGCTGGGGACCAGCTGGTGCAGGGTCTGAAAGTGGCCAGCATTTGGGTGGGAAACACTAAAGATATTTTGAGCAGGAGTGTGATAAGTTCAAGACTGGGCTGTCGAGAGATGACTTAGTGCCAAGCCTGGTCCACAGAAGGTGCTGGAAACATGTTTGTATTGTGGGGAGGGGAGGGAGGGAGGGAGCTAACAATGATTAGTGCCTTCTCAGCATCTTTTGTGTACCAATTCACTTACTGCTCACAACTACCCCTGAGAGAGATACTATTATTGTCCCTATGTCACAGTTGAAGAGGATAAGTTGGCCCACCCTGTGGCTGTGAGAGGTGGGGGGGGGGGCAGAAAGCAGCTACAGTTGCTGAGGGTTGAGCCTGGGGACCTGGGAGGGTGGCTGTGCTGCTGGAGCCAGCAGGTTAGCACATGGGCCCAGGCCTGCTTTGAGCCCAACCCACACAGCCAGCTGCCTGCTCCACCTGCCCAGAGCCCCTCAATCTAGTACATGCAAACTGAACTCCTGACCTCTGCCTCCCTCCCTGCAGCCCACTACCAAGCCTAGTCATCCCCCTGTTGCTGTCCACTCCAATGAAGGCCACCACCATCCAGCTGGCCACCCACACCAGAAAGCTGGGGCATCCTGGAGGCCTCCCTCTTGTAGACCTCCTCCCCCCACCTCCCACCCTCTAAATATCTCTCTGGTCCATTCACTCCTCTTCCAGTCCCCAGACACCACTGAGTCCAAGCTTCCCTCTTCTCTCTCCTACATGGCTAATCCCCTGTTCCACTCTGGTCCTATAGTCCCCTCTCCAGGCAGCAGCCAAAGTCATCATTTCAAAGGACCAGTCTGCTCTAGGCCTTTTCCTGCCTGACACACTCCCAGGTCCTCAGTGGTGTGGGCCCTGCTGATGCCTTCATGTTGCCTAGCCCATGGCCCTCTGGGCCTCTCAGCTTAGACACGTCTTCCAAATCCATGTAGGCAGGTGCTTTTTCACTCATCCATTCATTAGCCCCCAATTCCTTCATTCACACCTGCTGGTTCAGGTGCTGAAGCAGGCAGGCTTGGCCCAGTCCTCACTGGGGGTGGAGGTCAAGTCATGAAATGAGCCCACTGGGCCTTAGCACGTCACTTCTCTTCCTGAAAAAGTTTTCCTTCAAACTTCAGCTCATGCAATGCTTGCTTGGGACAACTTCCCCTGAATGCCCAGATGGGGCTCAGTGACTTTTCTGCACAGTATGGACCTCAGTTGGCAAAGATAACTTGTTAGTATGCTTCCTAGATTAACAGCCATCTCCTCCTTCAACTGTAAGCATCGTGGGAGCTGGATCTTGTCTGCCTCATTCATTGCTGTGCCCCAGTGCCTGGCACCAGGCCTGGCCCTGGGCAGGCCTTTGCTAAATGTCTGCAGGATAAATGACAGATTTAAGGAACAGCAAGTTGGGGTGGAAGATAGAGGGCAGAGCATGAAACCTTGGGGAGCATCAAATCTGAGGAGAGCATGATAAGTCAAAAGAGGAACAAGAGTGGACAGGGAGAACAGGAGAACCAGGAAAGTTCCAAAAGCAAAAGGAGAAGATTTCACAAAGGGGCAAAGCCTGCTGAGGGGAAAAGGGGTGGATGAAGACTATGAAGAGCCTTTAGGGAATCTGAGTCATTTTTCAGAAAGATATCTTAGAGGCAGGGGGGCCAAGTGATACAGGGAGTGGGAGGGGTGTAGGAGTAAACAAACCCCAAACCTTCTTGAATATTGCTTTGAATTTCTTAACAGCTCAACTGAGTCAGTATCCTCAACTGTAAAATGGGAATGATAATAGTACTAGCCTCACAGTGTTTATGTAAGAATTGAATGAGCTAATGAACCTTATTTAAAATCAAATCCCTCCTTACAAAAATAAACACACATCTACCCTGTGACTCAGCAATTCCATTCCTACATATTTACCCAAGAAATGAAAGTGTGTGTCCACATAAAGACACAAATGTTCATAGAAACTTTAATCACAGTAGCTCAAACTAGAAACAACACAAATGCCCATCAACAGGTGAATAGATAAACAAATCATGGTATATTCATGCAATGACGATACTATTCAGCAATAAAAAGAAACAAGTTACTGAGAAATACAGTAACACAGATGAATTTTACAGATGTTATGCTGAGTGACAGAACCAGATGCAAAAGAGTATATAATGTATAATTTCATTTTGCCACTAGGTAAAACTAGTCAAAACTAATCTATGGTGGAAACAATCAGAATAGCAGTTGCCTCTGGGAGGCCATTGGGGATTAACTGGGAAAGGGCATGAATGAACATTTTAGGGTGATAGTGATACTCTACATCATAAATTCTCGACAAGGGGGATATTGTCCCAAATGGAGCAAAAGTGGGTCCTTGAAGGGGGGCAAAAAAATCAGACATTACAATGGTTTGTGGTCCTCCAAAGGGCCACAGTACATAAACAGATGTACAGTTTATCTGCGGTACAATACGGTACATGGGGAGGGAGTGATTAGAAAAAACTGTCTAAAAAGTCTTCTTACAGGAGTGATAATGAAATAAAGGTTGAAAACACTGCTATATATCTTTTTTGAAACATTAAGAAATTTTTAGCCATTTTTTATTACTGTAAAATATACAAAACATAAAAGTTACCATTTAGCCATCTTTAAGTGTATAGTTTAGTGGCATAAATACATCCACATTGTCGTGCAACCATCACCACCATCCATCTCCAGAACTTTTTATTTCCCCCAGCTGAAACTCTATACCCATTAACCACTAACTTCCATTCCTCCGTCTTCCTTAACACCACTGGCAACTACTATTATACTTTCTGTTTCTATGAATTTACCTACTCTAGATACCTTACATAAGTGAGCACATATATTTGTCCTTTCATGACTGTGTTGTTTCATTTAGCATAATGTTCTCAAAGTTCATCCATGTTGTAGTTTATGTCAGAATCTCCTTCCTTTTTAAGGCTGAATAATATTCCATTATATCTTTGTACCACAATCCGTTTATCCATTCATCCAACAATGGGTTTTTCTACTTTTCGGTTATTGTGAATAATGCTGCTATAAACATAGGTGTAGAAATATCTGTTTTGAGTCCCAGCTTTCAATTCTTTTGGGTATATGCTCAGAAGTGAAATTGTTGGATCATATGGTAATTCTGCTTAATTTTTTGAGGAACCACAATTATCATTTTTCATGGCAAGCTGAACCATTTTACATTCCCATCAGCAATGCACAAGGGCTCTAATTTCCCCATATCCTTGGTCAATACCTTGACAGGAGATTTAGGTGTATGAAATTGTCAAAATTATCTAATAGTACATTGAAGATTTGCACATTTCATTCAAGGCAGATTTTTGTGTCTACAAGAAAATCAAACAAAAAGAATCATAAGTAAATATTGAACTTCAGTTAATGATATTGCTAAAGATAAGCAAAGCCAGGCACTAGTTAAAGCAATGAAAACAGATTTCATTCAGTAACAACTGACAGTAGGGGAAAAAGTTGAGCTCCATTCTGATTTGTGTGTGTAGAGATGACTGGGCTTTTCAAAGGGAGAATGAGGGAGTAGGGAGGAAGAGTGAGCAGGGGGCTCAGGTAGAGTCAGAGAAGTTAAAAATTACAAACCCTTGGTCAGTGTAAATATAAATAGGCCAATTGTGTCTGCTATCTGGCATTATGGAAATTAGAATTCCACCCTCCCACCATAGACTGGGAGACAGAGGGCCTACTCTTCCTGATGATTATATTCAAAGGAATGGATTTCAGGTCTTTGGGAAAGACATTCCTAGGTTGTAGGAGATACATACATATATATCTCCAAAGGATAGAGGAAGGATTTATAATTGTCAGCATTTTTTTTTTTTTTTAGTAAATTCTCTAGGACAGGGAGGTGTTGGCGGCAACAAACTGTAAATTCTTTTGGCAGCCTTGAGCTTTTTCAGGCAGGCAATTTTCAGTCGGGCCTTAAGTTGTGAGGAGTCATGCTAGTTTGGACAGTCAGTATGTGCTGAGAGTTCTTTGCAGTTCCCAATAAGCAGACTAAAAATTTTAGAGATGAAGTGTAATGATATCTTCAATTTACTCTGAAATGAATAAAAAAATAAGGTGGACTGCTCGATGGTGAGTCTGTAATAAAGCAAAACACAGCAAACGTTACTGGTAGAATTTATAGTCTGTCACCCTCTTATTAGAATGTGAGCTCCAGGAAGGCAGGGACTTTGTCCCCCTGGCACACAGGCTGTCAATAAATATTTGTAGAATGAATGAACCACACTTGTAAAGTACACAGGATGCGACAGCTTCCTCAACTTTGCAGTTGCCGACAGGCGGACGGTGGAACTCAGGCACAGCGCACGGTCCCTCGCGCTCGCCAGGCCAGGCGGAGTCGCTCTGGCAGCCAGGAGCCTCGGCTCTATGGCCGGTCCTCCCGGGCCGGGGGGAGGGGGCGGTGGAACCTCTCTGGCTGCTCCTGGCGTCCTCTCTATGGCGAGTCCTCCGGGGATGCCGGAGCATGCGTGGACTGCCCCGGCCTGATCGCTATGGCAGCGGCGTCGCTGAGGGCCAGGACTTCGCACTCCCCCCCCTGCGGGGCCGCCTCTCTGGCCTGAGCCGGCCCTCCCGCTGCGGACCGCCTCTCTACCCGCCCCTGCATCCCGACCGTGGGCCAACGCTGGGAACATGCCCCTGGCCGCCTACTGCTACCTGCGGGTCGTGGGCAGAGGCAGCTATGGGGAGGTGACGCTCGTGAAGCACCGGCGGGACGGCAGGCAGGTCAGCGGGGTTGGGGCCCGGCAAGGGGTGGGGTGCCGGCAGAGGTGCACCGAGGACGCCGCTCGGAGGACTAGGCCCGGGGTTGTCTGAAGGGGCTCATCTCGGATGGCACTTCTTCAGGGAAATGCCATCCCAGTCTACTGAGACGAGGTCAAGCCTCCCTGTAATATGCGCCCCAGACTTCCTCTCCTTCTCCCTTGTAGTATTAATTGGTGTGCTGTATCCACATACCTCTCTTCCATCCCCGACAAGTCCACGAGAGCAGGAATCATGCATTCCCGGGACCTAACACAGCGCCTGCCAAGCGTTACTCCTTGAATGAAGGTAGCCAGATGTCTCTAAACTGCTGGACTCACTTAAAACTCACCTCATTATCTTCCCTCCAGATCTTTTCTCAACATCCCGGTTGCAGTGAGTAGCACCACCAACCAGCTAGTTACCCAAGCCGGACACCTGGAGTCCTCTTTAAGCCTCCACCACCCCCACCCCCACCCCCAAACACTGATTATATTCATTTGCTACTAAGCCAACAGTCCTTCTCTCCGTCTCCACTTGTACCAGGCCAATCCAGGACACCATTATCTCTAGCTAGCTATGGCAAAGGCTTCCCAACTGTTCCTGCCACCTTACTCGCTCTGCTCCAATCCATCACTTTCATTGCAGCCTCGGTGACCTTTCAAAATTTTGATCTGATATTGACACTCCTTTGCTTGAAGCACTCTCAGGATATCCCATCACTCTCAGGATAATGAACCAATTTTTCAATGTGGTTTATTGATAGTTATATATTACATATAATGTGTTGTACAAACTGGTACAACTTTGAAACTGAAAGGAGGTGCTCTTAATAGTTACACCAGGACAATCAGACTGCTGAGAGAAGATGTCCCTCCTAAGTATAGGGCCCTCTCATCTCTTCTTCTTTGTCTCAGGTGCTGGTCACTCTGCCTTTTGCTCAGGCATAAGAGATTTATTCAGTAGGCATTGGGGGAATCATTGGATTTTTGAGCTGAGACTAGCTACAAGAATAGCCCCTCACATTTGAAAAGTAGTTTACATGTCACAAAGCATATTTATGTGTGTATTTGTTGAAGAAATTTATATGGTCTTTGAATTCATTGAGGACAATGTACTAGGTGTTAGAGGATATTGATGTTTTAAAAAGTGGGAATAATTTTGTATATTGAGAATCAGTGATTTTGTGTGTGTGTGTGTGTGTGTGTGTGTGTGTGTGTGTATGTGATAGAGTCTTATTCTGTCACCTAGGCTAAAGTGCAGTGGCATCATTAAAGCTCACAGCAACCTCAAACTCCTGGGCTCAAGCAATTCTCCTGCCTAAGCCTCCTGAGTAGCTGGGATTACAGGCAGGTGCTACTACACCCAGCTAATTTTTTTCTATTTTTTGTAGAGATGGAGTCTCACTTTTGCTCAGGCTGCTCTGCAACTCCTGGCCCCAAGCAATCCTCCCACCTTGGCCTCCCAGAGTGCTAGGATTATAAGCGTGAGCCACTGCACTTGGCCAGTGATTTTTAACCTCACTGGGCCTTGGATCCCTTTGAGTATCTGATGTAATCCATGGATCCATTCGGACTGCAGATGTATATTCAAGTCCATGTATGTTTGTAGAGGGACCTTAGGGGTTAAGGAATTTCTAACACAGATTTTATGATTAATCCAATGGTATGTTCTCTTGGACTCTTTTTTTTGAGACAGAGTCTCACTTTGTTGCCCAGGCTAGAGTGCCGTGTTGTCACCCTAGCTCACAGCAACTTCAAACTCCTGGGCTCAAACGATCCTTCTGCCTCAGCCTCCTGAATAGCTGGGACTACAGGCAACGCACCACCATGCCCGGCTAATTTTTTCTATGTATTTTTAGTTGGCCAATTAATTTCTTTCTATTTTTAGTAGAGATGGGGTCTCGCTCTTGATCAGGCTGGTCTTGAACTCCTGAGCTCAAACGATCCACCCATCTCGGCCTCCCAGAGTGCTAGGATTACAGGTGTGAGCCACTGCTCCCGGCGTCTTGGACTCATTTTTTAGCGTTACTGAAACTGTAAAATGCAGATGGAAAGGATAAAGTTTTGTGACCCCACACTGCTATAAGTCTAACCTGCAAAAAGTATCATTAGTAATAGCAAATATTTTCCACCAATTTTGTGCTTGGGAAAAACAAAATAAATAGGTTATCTGACAGGCTCCAGAAAGTTGGTTTTGAGGACATTCGTAAGAGTCCTCAGATAACTCTGAACCCACAAATCTGTACGTTTATTTCACATTGTAAAAATACATGTTTTCTTTGTAGTATGTCATCAAAAAACTGAACCTTCAAAAAGCCTCTAGCAGAGAGCGGCGAGCTGCCGAACAGGAAGCCCAGCTCTTGTCTCAGCTGAAGCACCCCAACATTGTCACCTACAAGGAGTCATGGGAGGGAGGAGATGGTCTGCTCTACATTGTCATGGGCTTCTGTGAAGGAGGTGATCTGTACCGAAAGCTCAAGGAACAGAAAGGGCAGCTTCTGCCTGAGAGTCAAGTGGTAGAGTGGTTTGTACAGATTGCCATGGCTTTGCAGGTACTGTCTAGACTCACAGCATCCTACTTGCTCCAAGGTGGCAGGAAGATGGCAGATGTATTTCAGGACAATTTTTTCCTCAAATACTTACATTAAAAAAATGTATTTTTTAAAAAATTCATTTATGAAATAGACCCAGTTCCTCTTACTGTAGCATTGGAATGTTTCTGAGTGAGTAATATCTATATTAAAGTAGGCATGGATTTCATGTCTAATTGCAGAATCCAGTTCTTTATTCATTTAATATTTATAGCAAAGTCAATTTTAAGGGCCCTGAGTTGACCTAGAACAAAGAGTGACTGTGTTTATTATCTGCTGGTCACCTGTGTCATGCTGAAACAAGGCTGGGCTAATTAATATGCTAGACTGTGGGGATTTGGGCTTTCATAGTGCTGGGGCAGAGTGGGTGGAAATGCAAAACAAGTTTGTGTTTTAATATACATATACTCAAAAGTGAGAATGTTTATGAAATACCATTTTGGAACTGAGCAGCCTTGTCCAGAATTAATTGACCTTTTTAAAATTCTAAGATACTTTCTCTAAATAAAAATGTTCTTGTTATATATATTTGAAAGTATTATTAAGCTGTGGATTTCATGGGTCTAAGAGGAATGTGCATCTGACTTTGTATAAGTTGTCCTACCTTCAGTGGGAGTTTATAAGCATATTTTTTAACTGGATTCATGTAGTGCTAAAATGCTAATAATTGTCAAGGTTCCAGGGAACAACTTTGATGGGTACTGGGCAAATTAATATATGGAACTTAATTTTCTTACTTCAAAAGTTGTATATTAGGCCTTTTATTTAGAGATTATAAAACAATAATGTTTTGGTAGGTAGGTAACTAAGTCTCTTTAACTCATGCAATTGCTGATGGTATATAAGAAACTAAGAATAAATAAATAAGCATATTTATATGTAATGAAGTTTTATTTCTCTCCTCAGTATTTACATGAAAAACACATCCTTCATCGAGATCTGAAAACTCAGAATGTCTTCCTAACAAGAACAAACATCATCAAAGTGGGTGATTTAGGAATTGCCCGAGTGTTAGAGAATCACTATGACATGGCTAGCACCCTCATTGGCACACCTTACTACATGAGTCCTGAATTGTTCTCAAACAAGCCCTATAACTATAAGGTAGGACTGGGCTTTGTATGCTAGCTCCCCTTGTCTTGGGGAAAGTATTCATAATTTCAGAACCCTTCACTATAGTTAAGTCAGAAGAATTATCTGTGAATCAGTTTAGGGAAAATGTCTTTTTTTTGAGACAGAGTCTCACTTTATTGCCCAGGCTAGAGTGCTGTGCGTCAGCCTAGCTCACAGCAACCTCAAACTCCTGGGCTCAGGAGATCCTCCTGCCTCAGCCTCCCAAGTATCTGGGACTACAGGTATGTGCCACCATGCCTGGCTAATTTTTTCTACATATTTTAAGTTGTCCAGCTAATTTCTTTTCTGTTTTTCTTTTTAGTAGAGACAGAGTCTCACTCTTGCTCAGGCTGGTCTTGAACTCCTGACCTTGAGCAATCCACCTGCTTTGGCCTCCCAGAGTGCTAGTATTACAAGTGTGAACCCCTGCCTATCTTCTTTTTTTTTTTTTTTTTAAAGCAGGCAGAATGTAAATAAGCTATTCTGACTTTTAATTGTTTACTGTTTTTCTTTTCTAGTCTGATGTTTGGGCTCTGGGATGCTGTGTCTATGAAATGGCCACCCTGAAGCATGCTTTCAATGCAAAAGACATGAATTCTTTAGTTTATCGGATTATTGAAGGAAAGGTAAATAATAATCTAGAACTAATTGAGCACGGTTTATATAATGCAGCTTTGTAAATAGCTACTGGCAAAATCATTGATGATTTTGATGAGTCAATGAATAATTATTGATATTGGTGAGTTAAGAATGGTGGGTCTCGCCGGGGCCGCGGTGGCTCACGCCTGTAATCCTAGCTCTCTGGGAGGCCGAGGCAGGCGGATTGCTCAAGGTCAGGAGTTCAAACTAGCCTGAGCAAGAGTGAGACCCGTCTCTACTATAAATAGAAGAAACTAATTGGCCAACTGATATATATATAAAAAAATTAGCCGGGCATGGTGGCGCATGCCTGAGCCCAGCTACTCGGGAGCTGAGACAGAAGGATCGCTCGAGCCCAGGAGTTTGAGGTTGCTGTGAGCTAGGCTGACGCCACGGCACTCACTCTAGCCTGAGCAACAAAGTGAGACTCTGTCTCAAAAAAAAAAAAAAAAGAATGGTGGGTCTCTTACAGTGGGAAATCAAACTAGAGGAGAAGGGATTGATCATTTCTTAACATTAATCCATAAAGGTGGCTTAATGGTTCAAAAGAATTGGCTTTTGGCCGTGGCTCGTGCCTGTAATCCTAGCTCTCTGGGAGGCCGAGGCGGGTGGATTGCTCGAGGTCAGGAGTTCGAAACTAGCCTGAGCAAGAGTGAGACCCCGTCTCTACTATAAATAGAAAGAAATTAATTGCCAACTAATATTATACAGAAAAATTAGCCGGGCATGGTGGCGCATGCCTGTAGTCCCAGCTCCTTGGGAGGCTGAGGCAGAAGGATTGCTTGAGCCCAGGAGTTTGAGGTTGCTGTGAGCTAGGCTGACGCCACGCCACTCACTCTAGCCTAGGCAACAAAGTGAGACTCTGTCTCAAAAAAAAAAAAAAAAAGAATTGGCTTTGAAAACCTCTCCCTATAGCCACAGGATATACTGGTGCCCTGGGAGATTGTTAGTAATATATCTTCTCAGCAGCTTATGGTTAGATGAGTTCCATTTAAAATGAGTACACTCCATTTGTTGAACTTGTCCCTTTGATAATCATCACAATCACCAGCAGCTATTTAAGAACTATGGAAAGCATTGTTTCTGATATGGACACCAGAGTGACTCATTTTATGTTAGTCCAGTGAGGCTAGTTGTCCTTGGCAGTGTCAGGCACATACTGTTAAGTTTTAAGGTCATAAATCACCTATTGATTTTAATATTATCCCAAGACTCATTTAATCTTTTTATCTGAAAAATATTGAAAAACCCAAAAAAAGTAAAATTTGCCCATAATTCCACTCCTTAAAGAAACAAACAAGAAAGGAATGAAATTCCCCCTTTTTGTGCCCTTCCTTTTGTTCTCTCTTTGCTGTGACAATGGGTCTGGTCATCATCTGTGGCATAATCATCTGTGGCATGCTTTATAAACCTTTGTCTTGCTCTTGCCCTATAATCCTATCTTTCTCTCCTCAACAAACCTCATTTTTATGGTTGTCTTAAAAAAAAAAAAAAGAAAGGAGTGAAATTCCTCTCTCTTTTTATCTATTTCCATACCCTGGAATAACCATTGTTAGTAATTTGGTGCATGGCCTTCCTGGCTTTTTTTTTAAGATAGAGTCTTGCTCTGTGGCCCAGGCTAGAGTGCAGTGGCATCAGCCTAGCTCACAGCAACCTCAAACCCATTGGCTCAAGCAATCCTCCTGGCTTAGCCTCCCGAGTAGCTGGGACTGCAGGCATGCACCACCACTCCTGGCTAATTTTTTCTATTTTTAGTAGAGACAGAGTCTCACTCTTGCTCAGGCTGATCTGGAACTCCTGCCTTGGTCTCCCAGAATGCTAGGATTACAGGTGTCAGCCACTGCACCCAACTCCTTCCTGTCTTTTTCTTGTCTTTATACAGACACAACTCTGGGTGTATATTAATGTATGTACATATACACACAGATACTTAAGAAACAAAAATGTAATCAAGGTTGTACACATTAGTACATAACTGGCTTTTTTGACTTAACATATGAGGGACATCTTTCTGGGTTAGAAACTGTAAGTCTTTTATTTTTTAAGCACCTGCTTAGTATTCTATAGGAAGGAGGTACCATAATTTATTCCACAAGTCCCCCATGGATGGACATTTAAGTTGATTACAGTTATGTACTACCGTAAGAACAATGCTGCATTGAACATCCTGGTACATAAATTTTTAGCAACTCTTGCTCTTATTTCTGAAGGGGAAAAAATAAATCCCCAAATGGCACTGCTGGGTTGAAGGATATACTTTTACAATCTTACAACTTGTTATTATAACCAGGACACCAGTATACTTTCTGTAGACTAATATACTGGTTATTTTGTGCTTATGTGGATACATGACTTTAAATAAATATTAGGAAACCTCTACCAGCTTTTACTTTGTTAGTCATAATTGCAGTACTGTTTTTCTTTGTAGCTGCCGCCAATGCCAAGAGATTATAGCCCAGAGCTGGCAGAATTGATAAGAACAATGTTGAGCAAAAGGCCTGAAGAAAGACCCTCTGTGAGGAGCATCCTGAGGCAGCCTTATATAAAGAACCAAATATGCATCTTTTTGGAGGCCACAAAGGCGTAAGATACTTCCCTTGCAAATAGCTGGACTAAATAGATGGAGTAAAAAATAATTTTTATAATTGTCTGATGAGTGAATTTATGGTGAGCTTTTTAAACACAAAATAAAATTGCATGATTAGAATATGTAGAGGAGGCAAAATTCTACCTCAGAGTGTTTTGGCTGCGCCTGAGAATTAAACTGACAAATTAACAGGAGAAAAGCATACACATTTATTTAATAGTTATATAAGTTTTATGTGACACAGGAGTCCTCATAAGGAAATGAAGACCCAAAGAAGTGGCAAAACTTAAATGCATTTATGCTAGATTGAACAAAGAGAGGTGATTATGGAAAAGTAACTAAACTATGTGGAGAGGCTGAAGGAAGATAAGAATTATTTTAACAAGACCTGTTTGTACAGAATTCTCTCAGTCTCAACTCTCTGTTCCTTTTTAGTTTTTAATTTTTTTTTTTTTTTTGAGACAGGGTCTCATTCTTTTGTCCAGGCTGAAATTCAGTGACATAATCATATTGCAGCCTTAAACTCCTGTGTTTAAGCAATCCTCCTGCCTCAGCCTCACAAGTAGCCAGGACTATAGGTTCATGCCACCACAACTGATGAACTATTTTTAAATTTTTTGGTAGAGTTGAGGTCTTGCTGTGTTGCCCAGGATGGTCCCAAATTCTTGGGCTCAAGCGATCCTCCTGCCTGAGCCTCCCAAAGTTCTAGAATTATAGGCATGAACCACTGTGCCTGGCCACAACTGTTAATTTTTTTCTGGTATAGGGAGGACGTATTCCATATGAAGGTTTTATCTGCTCCTTTCAGGAAGGAAAAGGGGAGGATCGGAGTGCCCTTCTTGTACCCACTTTTTAAAGAGCCATTAGCCCAAAATAATTCTTATGCCTAAGTAGCATATTGGGGTAGCATATACTGCCATCCTTGAAATACATGTTTAGTTTGCTTCATTGCAAAAAACAAATTTAGAGAACCACTATAACATTTCTCAAAGGGTTCCAACCCATGCACGGTATGCTTCTTTTAAAAGGGCATGTTGGCCGGGCGCGGTGGCTCATACCTGTAATCCTAGCACTCTGGGAGGCCGAGGCGGGTGGATTGCTCAAGATCAGGAGTTCGAAACCAGCCTAAGCAAGATCGAGACCCCGTCTCTACTATAAATAGAAAGAAATTAATTGACTCTACTATAAATAGAAAGAAATTAATTGACCAACTAATATATATAGAAAAAAATTAGCCGGGCATGGTGGCGCATCCCTGTAGTCCCAGCTACTCGGGAGGCTGAGGCAGGAGGATTGCTTGAGCCCAGGAGTTTGAGGTTGCCGTGAGCTAGGCTGATGCCATGGCACTCACTCTAGCCTGGGCAACAAAGTGAGACTCTGTCTCAAAAAAAAAAAGGGGGCATGTTTTAGAAACTGTATGAAAATGAGAGATTATCTGAGAAACCTATTACGTTATTTACTATGTAAAATAATAATCTCATCTAAAAAATAGTGCTTAAGTTTCTGAGAGGTTTCGTGAAGCTCCCTTTTCATTCACATAACTTCTCAAGAGAAAAAGAATTCTTTGACTTGTAGGTTCTACCTTCACCAAACAGGTGTCCCAGGATCTAAGACTAAGGGCTGGGCAAGACTCACAATCTCCTTGACTAGTCTTCCTGCCTTGTGGCATGTTGAATTTGGAAGGAGAGGAGAAATGTTGGAGAGGCCCAGGGGATAAAGGAGGACCGTCTTTTTGCTCACATTCTCTGTAACTTGCCACCAAACAGCCCTTTGGCTTTCCACTGCCCTGGTCTCTGTGGTACCCTTGAATTCTCCGGGGGTTTACCCAGTTTTAGAAATGACATACTAAAATAGTTGGAGATATTATTCCTGTATGCATTTATTCTGCAAGTCAGGACTGAGTATATCAATCATTTTTACTCTCAAACTTGGCAAAGAAGTTGTGTTATTACAAATATGTGAAACTTGAAAATGAAACTCATAATAACTTCTTTCTTTTCTTCTTCATAAAGAAAAACCTCCAAAAATAACATTAAAAATGGTGACTCTAAATCCAAGCCTGTTGCTACAGTGGTTTCTGGAAAGGCAGAATCAAATCACAAAGTAATTCACCCCCAAATACACTCTTCTGAGGGCTTCAAGACATATGTCATGGTATGTTTCTTTTTAAAGGGTACAGGTTTTAGAAATTGTACTTTAAAAACTAGGCTAGCGAAGCAAATTATGTGTGAAATGACAATGCTTCACTAGAGATGCTGTTGTATGCTTCCTTTATATAAGTAAGAGTGCTGATGAAGGCGATGCATTTAGCCCCCTTTATCCAAAGCAGACTGTCAGACTTCACACAGCCAGTGCTGTAATAACTTCAAGAAATTTTTAGGTGAAATTTGTGTAACATAAAATTAACCATTTTAAAGTGAACAAATTGCATTAAGTACATTCATAATGTTGTGTAACCATTACCTCTATTTAGTTCCAAAACATTTTTATAACCCCAAAGGAAACCCCTTACCCATTAAGCAGTCGCTCCCCATTTCTCCTCCACCCAGCTCCTGGCAACCACTAGTATGTTTTCTGACTCTATGAATTTATCTATACGGGCTATTTCATATAAATGGAATAAAAATATGTGACCTTTTGTATCTGGTTTCTTTCACTTAGCATGTTTTCAAGATTCACCCATGTAGTATATATCGATATTTCATTTCTTTTCAAATCTAATATTTCATTGTATGGATCTACCACAATTTGTCCATTCATCCATTGGTGGACGTTTGGGTTGTTTTTACCTTTTAGCTATTGCTATGAACATTTGTATGCAAGTTTTGAGTACCCAGTTCTTTTGGGTATATACCTAGGATTGGAATTGCTGAGTCAAATGGTAATTTTATATTTAACTTTTTGAGTAACTACCATACTGTTTTCTACAGTGACTGCACCATTGTACATTCCCATAAGTAATGCACAAGGGTTCCAATTTTTCACATCCTTACCAACACTTATTTTGTTTTTTTAATTCAAGCCATCCTATTGGATGTGAAGTAGCATCTCATTATAGTTTTAATTTGCAGTATCCTAATGACTAATGATATAGAGCATCTTTTTACAGCTTGTGTGCCATTTGTCTGTCTTCTTTAAAGACATGTCTGTTAAGTCTTTTGCCCATTTTTTAGTTGGATTTTTTGTCTTTTTGTTGTTAAGTTGTAAGAGTTGTTTCTGTGTTCCCTGTATTAGACCCTTATGAGATGCGTGACTTGAAAATATTTTCTCCATTCTGTAGGTTGTCTTTATTTATTTTTAAATATATCTATTTTAATTTTAAATATATATTTTCTTATTTCTTTTTTTATTATTTTTATATATTCTTTTTTTATTATTTTTTTCCCAAATCATGGCTTGTTGGATTATTTCTTATTTTTAAAATACATATTTCATATTTTCTATATATTTCCAAGCTTCCCGAATAGATAGGACTATAGGTGCACACTACCATGCCTGCCTAATTGTTAAATTTTTTTTGAGATAGGGTCTTGCTATGTTGTCCAAGCTGGTCTCAAACTTTTTAACCTCCTAAAGTGCTGAGGTTATAAATTGTAAGAGTTCTTTCTATGTTCCAGGTATCAGACTCTTACTAGATATGACTTGAAAATATTTTCTCCGTTCCGTAGGTTGTCCTCATTTTCTTTTTTTAAAATTTTTAATATATATTTTCTTATTTATCTATTTTTCTTTTGTTGCTTGTGCATTTGATGTCATATCTAAGAATCCCTTGCCTGATCCAATATCTTGAAGGTGAGGAGGGGTGAGGCAGCCTCACGTCAGTGGCTTTCTGGCGCAGTGCGGGCTCCGCGTCGGCTCGGGTCAAGGCTGAGGCACAGAGCACGCAGAGAGGCCGAGGAAGGGCTGCCGCCTGTTCCGCCGGAGAAGAGGGTGGCTTCTAACAGTTTTATAGTTTTAGCTCTTTTATTTAGGTTGTTGATCCATTTTTTTGTTTGTGATTTTTTTTTAATGTGATAAAATACACATTGGAAGTATGAGTCCTCTATCTTTTGGGCTATTTGGCTATTTGGGTCTCTTGAAATTCCATGTGAATTTTAGGATGGATTTTTCTGTTTCTGCAAAAAAGTCATTGCAATTTTGATAGGGATTACATTGAACCTATAGATTGCTCTGGGTAATCTGGACATCTTAACAATATTAAGTCTTCCTATCCCTGAATGTGAATGTATTACCATTTATGTATGTTGTCTTTAATTTCTTTCAGCAGTTTTATAGTTTTCATTGTATAAGTCTTTCACCTTTTTGTTAATTCCTAAGTATTTTATTTTTTTTTTCATGCTATTGTAAATGGAATTGTTTTTATAATTTGCTTTATAGGTTATTGATTGTTAGTGTATAAAAATTCAAATGAGGCAGGGCATAGTGGCTCACATTTGTAATCCCAGTACTTAAGGAGGCTGAGGCAAGAGGATCACTTGAGGCCAGAAGTTCAAGACCAGCCTGGGCAACATAGCAATACCCCATCTCTAAAAAAAATTTTTAAGAATTAGCTGGTCAGTCATGGTGGCATGTGCCTGTAGTCCCAGCTACTCAGGAGGGTGAGGCAGAAAAATCATTTAGCCCAGGAGTTTGAGGCTACAGTGAGCTGTGATTGCACCATTGCACTCCAGCCTCAGCGACAGAGTGAGGCCCTGTCTCTTAAAAAAAAAAAAAAGCAACTTATTTTTGTGTGTTGACTTTGCCTCTTGCTACTTTGCTAAATTCATTAGTTCTAAGAGTTTTTTTGTGTAATCTTTAGGGTTTTCTATATATAAGATAATATCATCTGCAAACAGATAATTTTACTTCTTCCTTTTTAATTTTGATTCCTTTTATTTCTTTTTATTGCTTAATGGCACTGGCTAGATCTTTCTATACTATATTGAGTAGAAGTGGGCATCATTGCTCTGCTTTTTTTTATTTATTTTTTTTTTTTTGAGGCAGAGTCTCACTCTTTTGCCCTGGCTACAGTGCCATGGCATCAGCTTAGCTCACAGCAACCTCAAACTCCTGGGCTCAAGCAATCCTCCTGCCTCAGCCTCCCAAGTAGCTGGGACTACAGGCATATGCCACCATGCCCGGCTAATTTTTTCTATATATATTAGTTGGCCAATTAATTTCTTTCTATTTTTAGTAGAGACTCGTTCTCCATCTTGCTCAGGCTGGTTTCGAACTCCGGACCTTGAGCGATCCTCCCACCTCGGCCTCCCAGAGTGCTAGGATTACAGGCGTGAGCCACCGCGCCTGGCCTATTGCTTTGTTTTTGATCTTGGAAGAAAAACTTTTAGTCTTTTAAGTATAACGGTCACTGTGGGTGTTTCATATATGACTTTTATCATGTTGAGAGTTTTCTTCTATTCCAATATTATTATTATTTTTTTTATCATGAAAGGGTGTTGAATTTTGTCAAATGCTTTTTCTATATTGATTGGGATGATCATTTGGTTTTTTCCTTCATTCTGTTCATGTGGTCTGTTACACTGATTGATTTTCACTTGCCTCAGAATAGGCAAATCCAGCAGGGACAAGTGTTGCCAGGGGTTGGCAGAGGGAGAATGGAGAATGACCGTTACTGGGTACTGGGTTTCTTTTCACAGTAATGAAAATATTCCTCTGTTTAAACTGATACACAGCATAACTGGTTTCCCTAAAATGACAACTAGAGCATAGCCATCCTTGCATTCCAGGAATAAATCCCACTTGGTCACATTTTAACTACTTTTAAGTATATACTTCAGTGTCCTTAATTATAGTCACAAAGTCATACAACTATCACCACTATATTCTAAAACCCTTTCTTCATTCCAAATAGAAACTCTGTACCTATTGAGCAATAACTCTGTATTCTCCCTATCCTCAGGCCCTGTTAACTTCCCATCTACTTTCTATCGCTATGAATTTGGCTATTTTATGTATATTATATAAGTGGAATCATACAGTATTTGTCTGTTTTGTGTCTGGCTTATTTCACTTTGCATGATTTATGTGTTGATCCATGTTATAGCATGCATTAGAACTTCATTCCTTTTTATGGGTTAGTAATATTCCATTGTATGTATTATATATACCACATTTTTTTCCCCATTTGTCTGCTGATAGACATTTGGGTTATTTCTAACTTTTGGCTATTTAGAATAATGCCGCTATAAACTTTGGTGCACAAATATCTGTTTGAATCCCTGCTTTCAGTTCTGTGGAGTGTATAACTAGGAGTGGAATTGTTGGGTCATATGGAAATTCTGTGTTTAACTTTTTGAGGAACCTGTTGTTTCATTTTGAGTTAATTTTTGTATATGGTGTGAAGAGTGCTATAATAATTTAGAAACACATTTTCATTCAGGGTGAAGATAAATGTTCGTCCCAGGAGAAACCCAAGGTCATTGGTCCCTTGAAGTCTGCTAGTCTGAAAGGCCACACCTGTAAACTAGACTTGAGCAATGTTACAGAGTCACTAGCCACGATCAGTAGGGTAAATATTGACATCTTACCTGCAGAAGGGAGGAGCTCGGTGAGGGACGGCTTAGTTCGAGAGGATCAACCAAGACACTTAAATGCCTCTAATGAGTTAGAAGGTAAATGCCATATTTCTCAAGTGAAGCAGGAGACACTGCAGGATATCACTAAGTCCAGTGCTCATCCTGAAATCCTGATTCCTACATGGTCTTCTGATGCCACTGGGGCAAAGAATGAACCAGTGAAGCCTCTGCAGCTTCTAAACAAAGACCAAAAGCCAAAGGACCAGGTGAGTGATACACACACATAAAATATTGGTTTCAGAGAGAGGACTGGAATGTACTATTACAAAAATGTGGGTCATGTTGTTTGATTATGCTTTAGTTATCATTTTAGGGAAATCAGTTATTCTGTGTAACAATGGAAACAGAAGAATATTTTTATCACTCCAAAAAGAAACCCAGTATCCAGTAACTGTCATGGTCCATTCCCCCTTTATTTTACCCTAAGCCCTGGCAACATTTGTCCCTATGGATTTGCCTATTCTGAGCATTTCATATAAATGGCATAATACAGTTTATGGTCTTTTGTGTGTGTTTGTCTTCTTTTAGCCCTTTTTCAAGATTTATCTATGGTGTAGCATGTACCAAGTATTTCATTCTTTTTTATCGTCAATATAATTTCCACGGTATATATATATATTATTTTATTTATCCATTCATCAGTTGATGAACATATGGGTTGTTTCCACTTTTTGGATACTGTGGGTAATGCTGCTGTGAATATTCATGTACAACTTTTTGTGTGGACTTATGTTTTCAGTTTTGTTGGGAGTTGAATTGCTGGGTCATATGGTAATGCTATGTGTAACTTTTTGAGGAACTACAAAACTCTTTTCCAATGCAACTGTATGATTTTACTTCTACCAACAATATATGAGGGTCTCAGTTTCTCTGCATCCTTATCAACACTAGTTATTGTCTATCGTTTTGATCATAACTATCCTAGGAGGTGTGAAGTGGTTTTGATTTGCATCTCCCTAATGACTAATGATGTTGAACATCTTTTAATATACTTTTTGGCCATTTGTGTACCTCCTTTGGAGAAATAATCTATTCAGATTCTTTGCTAATATTTAATTGGTTTATATATCTTTTTGTTATTGAATTGTGAGAGTGTCTATTCTAGATACCAGTTCCTCATTAGATACAGCATTTGAAAATATTATCTTCAGGCAGGTGCAGTGGCTCATTCCTATAACCCCACTACCTTGGAAGCCTGAGGTGGGAGGATTGCTTGAGGCTAGGAGTTTAAGAACAGCCTGGACAACATAGTGAGACCCCAGCTCTAAAAACATAAAAATAAAAATAGCTGGGTATGGTAGCATGTGCCTGTAGTCCCAGCTGGGTGGGAGGCTGAGACAGGAGGGTCACTTGAGCCCAGGAGTTTGAGGCTGTGGTGAGCTATGATTGCATCTCTGCACTTCAGCCTGGATGACAGAGGAAGGCCCCATCTCTAAAAAGAAAAGTCTCACATTCTGTGAGTTGTTTTTTCACTTTCTTGATGATGTCCTTTGAAACACAAAAGTTTAAAATTTTTATGAAATCCAATTATGTCTATTTTTTTTCTTTTGTAGCTTGTGCTTATAATGTCATGTTTTCTTTTACGAATTTATAGTTTTGGCTCTTACATTTAGGTCTGTGATCTATTTTGAGTTAATTTTTGTGTATGATGTGAGGAAGGGATACAACTTCATTCTTTTGTATGTGAATATCCAGTTGTCCCAGCACCATTTGTTGAAAAGATTATTTTTTCCCCGTTGGAGTGTCTTGGTACCCTGTAGAAAATCAATAGACTGAAAATGTAAGGATTTTTCATAGGCTTTCAATTCTGTACCATTGATCTATATGTCTGTCTTAATAACACATTATCTTGATTACTGTAGCTTTGTAGTAAGTGTTGAAATTGGGAAGTGTGAGTCTGCTAACTTTATTTGTATTTTTCAATATTATTTTAGCTGTTTGGGTCCTCTATATTTCTGTGTGAATTTTAAGATCAGCTTGTCAGTTTTTGCAAAAAATGCTTGGATTTTGACAGGGATTGCTTTGAATCTGTAGATCATTTGCAGAATATTGCTATCTTAATATATAAGTCTTCCAATCCATGAATATGGGATGTCTTTCTATTTGGTTAGGTCTTCTTTAATTTCTCTCTTTCTCTCTCTCTCTCTCTCTTTTTTGAGATGGGGTCTCATTCTGTTGCCCTGGCATCACCATAGCTCTCACTGCAACCTCAAACTCCTGGGCTCAAGTGATCCTTCTGCCATAGTCTCCTGAGTTGCTGGGATTATAGGCAAGTGCTGCCATGGCAGGCTAATTTTTCTATATTTTGTAGGAATGGGGTCTTGCTCTTGCTCAGGCAGGTCTGGAACTCCTGATCTTAAGCAATCCTCCTGCCTTGGCCTCTCAAAGTGCTAGGATTACAGACATGAGCCACCACACCCGTCCTGTTCTTTAATTTCTTACAATGATGTTTGTTGTTTTCATTGTATAAGTCTTGAACTCATTTTGTTGAATTTGTTTCTAAGTATTTTATTGTTTTTGATGCTATTATAAATGGAATTATTTTCATAATTTCATTTCCATGTTCATTGCTAGTGTATAGAAATATAATTGATTTTTTAATATTGATCTTTTATTCTGCAACCTTGCTGAACTCATTTATTGGTTCAAATAATTTTTTTAAGTGGTCTCTTTGGATTTTCTGAATATAAGATCATGTAATCTGTGAATAGAGATAATAGTTTTAGTTATTCATTTCCAATCTGGAATCCTTTTATTTCTTTTTCTTACCAAATTGCCTTGGCTAAAACCTCCAGTACAGTGTTGAATAGAAATTATGGGAGTGGACATCGTTATCTTATTCCTGATTGAATCTGTTGTCTTACACCAGGCTTTTTTGAGCAGGCTTTTTTTTTTTTTGAGACAGAGTCTTACTTTGTTGCCCTGGCTAGAATGCCGTAGCGTCAGCCTAGCTCACAGCAACCTCAAACTCCTAGGCTCAAACAATCCTCCTGCCTCAGCCTCCTGAGTAGATGGGACTATAAGCACGCGCCACCATGCCCGGCTAATTTTTTCTATATATTTCTAGTTAGCCAATTAATTTCTTTCAATTTTTAGTAGAGATGGGGTCTCGCTCTTGCTCAGTCTGGTTTCAAACTCTTGACCTCGAGCGATCCTCCCGCCTCTGCCTCCCAAAGTGCTAGGATTATAGGCATGAGCCACGGCACCTGGCCTAGAGCAGGCTTTTTTGTTTGTTTGATGGAATTTCAAGTCTAGCATTTTCTCTTTCTTTTGTTTTTACTTTTGTTTTCTTCTTCATAAAGTGGACAGACTTTTTAAAAACCAATTGGATTTAATGGAGAAGCTCCTTAATTGTTCTTATCATTCTTGTACATATAACTAAGTTTTATTTTGAATACTCTGTACTTACTACCAGTAGAGAAACATTTATTTTCCTCTTCAGAATTAGATCATTTGTTGTGTGTTTTCTTGGTCTCCTTGTTTAGCTAGATTATTATATAATAATATTGTAAAATTAATCATTTACCATATTTTGCATCCCATATTAGGTATACTCTTTGAAGAATAAATTTACAAGTTATTTTACCTACAGTTTTGTGTTTGCCAGAGATATAAAAATGTTGTCTTGGCTGGGTGAGGTGGCTCATCCCTGTAATCCTAGCACTCTGGAGGCTAAGGCAGGAGGATCACTTAAATTCAGGAGTTTGAGACCAGCCTAAACAAGAGCAAGACCCTGTCTCTACAAAAAATAGAAAAATTAGCTGGGTATGGTAGGACACACCTATAGTCTCAGCTCCTTGGGAGGCTGAGGCAGGAGGATCACTTTAGCCCAGGAGTTTGAGGTTGCTGTGAGCTATGATGACACCACTATACTCTAGCCAGGGCAACAAAGTGAGACTGTGTCTAAAAAAAAAAAAAAAATGTTGTCTTAATGATAATGGCTGTTAGGGGCCGGTTGCCGTGGCTCGTACTTATAATCCTAGCACTGTGGGAAGCCAAGGCTGGAGGATCACTTGAGGTCAGGAGTTCATGAACTGCCTGAGCAAGAGTGAGACCCCATCTCTTAAAAAACCAAAATGATAATGGCTGTTAGAATGCAATTTTACCTTGTATTACTATCACATTGTTCATTTTTCTTTCTAAAATGTTCCAATAGTAGGTTCTTGATAAAAATGTGTTGATTGAATGATATTCAATTATCATTGCCCTTATACTTGAAAACCTAGGTATTCTAATACTTAAAAATTGGCAAAAATAGATGCAAGAATCCACCAGGTACAGTAGCATGTGCCTGTAGTCCCAGTTTTTCAGGAGGCTGAGACAGGAGGATTGCTTGAACCCAGGAGTTCAAAACCAGCCTAGGCAACATAGTGAGACCCCAAATCTGAATAAATGAATGAATGAGTGACTGCAAGCAAGAATATATTTTATTTTAATGTTTGGTATGCATTTGTTTCTAAAACCATCTATCCAAATAAAATACTAAGTCCCTGGTGATCTTTATAACTTAAAAAGTAATGTGCTACCAATAGTTCTCATTCTCTGAGCATCTAATATGTGATAGACATAGTCCTAAGTACTTTTAGTGTATCATTTCAGCTAATCCTCAGATAGTAATACCATGTGTGGTGGGCATTAAACCCATTTTTCAATGAGCAAACTGGGCTCAGAAATATTAAATTTCTCCCATAAGACTCCATCTAACTCCTAACTCCATCTAACATCTAAACTCAATGCTCTTTTCTTTGTGTTCTTTAGGGTATATCCAAATAACTGACAGTTACTTGGAAAGCAAATGTATATTAAATTGGAGTTCATTTCAGACATTTGTTCATTTTCAGGATAGAAAATCTATTAAAAGTTATGAAGAGATTTAAGAAAAAACTGAATCAAACGTGAGTAGTTTAAGGCTAATCACGATTTGAGAAGAGAAAAAAAGCCAGAACATTTAGATAACTGATATCAGCATTATTTCTTTGGCTGTCATCACTGCAAATAAGCATTCATTTGGAGAAAGAGTGTTCCTCCTTCTCATTTTCATTTACCATTTTAAAAGTAATGGAGGAGGAGGAGAAGGAAAAAAAGAGGTAGATATGGAGGGTTTGGCCATCTGGAAGTTCAAAAGACTATTTCATTATTTTGTGGGGTTTTGTTTGGCATGTTTCTTTCATCTTACTATTTTTAAGGACCAAGTTGCTGGTGAATGTATTAAAGAAAAACAGGGCAGAATCCACTCAGGTTTACAGCCGCACAGCTCTTGGGCTGAACCTTCCCTGTCTCGACAGCGACGGCAGAAGAAAAGAGAACAGACTGAGCACGGTGGGGGGAAGAGACAGGTTGGTGGAGATCTCTTTGCAGTAATTCATTGTGCTGCTGTTTGGGAGATAGACTTTGGGAAGCTCAATTTCTATTTAGAATGATTAACAGTTGCCTAAAAGACACGTAAGAAAATGAAAGGAACATACAGAGAAGGGTGGCAATTGCAAGATGCTAAATATCAATTTTCAAATATCAGTGTAGCTGAAAGCAGAAGAAAGATTTTATCTTCCCCAGCAAAGATGGGCAGATTATTGTGAGAGTTAAAGGAGCAGGCTAATGAGGGTAGATTTTTGACCCCTTCTCTATTATACTGATGATCATCATTATCTTCTTCTGCATCTTTCCTCATCTTCTGCACAAAATCATGTTGACGCCTCATTTCTTCAAGTAACTTTCACAGGCACCCTCTCCATAAACTTCTTAGATGGTGATTTTCTTTTGGCAGATTCCCTTTCCAAAATGCAATATTTTGAAGTTTTTAAGAGCAAAGCACTGACAAAATACATAGGGAACCTACTGACAGGGAAACTCTGGAGGTGGCTGTATAGGAAACTGATAATTTCCCTCTCTTTTTTAATTATTTAAAGTTCCACGAGTCACCTCAACTTTTACCCTCTCATCCCATTGTTGGAAAAGTGGATATCATACCTATACAAAAAGATGCTGAACACCAAAGTAGCATGGTCACTGGGTCTGTGAGCAGTTCAATGACCAGTGAGATGTCCTCATCTAAGGTTTGTGAGAGTGTATGTTGAGTTTTTAAAAACCTTATAAAGCTTTTTTGTTGTAAAATCATATGTATATTGTGAAGTTTTAAATTGAAAACTTAGCCTTGATTCTTGCCAAAAACTGGTATGGACAGATTTGTGATTCTCAGCAGAAGCTTTGATTGAAATGGTGTCAGAGATGGTCACTTCTAGTTAATCAAAGAGATCAAGTAGATTCTGGAATCTACTTGAAATGTGAGTGTCTCCATTTGTGCTTCTAAAAAATAAGCACCTCCTAGAAATGAAGGCTATGATGATTTCTTGCTAGTAGCTGTAACCCTAGCGTGCACTGGCTTCCAGTGGACAGTCTTTCAAATGTCAGTGCAAGGCCTTTTCCTTCATGCTGAATGATACGTCATGCATTGGAGGTGTCATAAGAATAGTGAGTAGAAATGGAAGTGACTCTGTGACCTTCTTTAAAAGGATCGACCATTATCAGCCAGAGAGAGGAGGCGACTAAAACAGTCACAGGAAGAGATGTTCCCCTCAGGTAAGTTGAACTCTTTTCTTCATCTTATCAGCAGCTATTACTATGGCTTGTGGAAGTAAGCATTGGTACTGATTGTGAGGTATTAAGATTTTTAGGGTCAGGAGCAATGGTTCACGCCTGTAATCCTGGCACTTTGGGAGGCCGAGATGGGAGGATCACTTGAGGCCAGGAGTTTGAGACCAGCCTGAGTAACGTAGACCACATCTCTGCAAACAATTCTTAAAAATTATCCAGGTGTGGTGGCATACATCTATAGTCCCAGCAACTTGGGAGGCTGAGGCAGGAGGATAGCCTGAAGCTAGGAGTTTGAGGTTTCAGTGAGGTATGATGATGCTATTGCACTCTAGCCTGGGCAATAGAGCAAGACCTGTCTAAAAAAAAAAAAAAAAAGAAGACCTTCAAGCAGCAGTAATCCATTTAGCAAATTGATTGGGAAGAGTTTTTGAAATGTCTTACTTGAGCCTTTTAAGAAATCATCATAGACTGTTGAATCTGGGACATACAGTCTATTAATACAGAATATTAAAAAGAGAGCAAGAGGGCTTCGAGTGGCTTTAACTCCTGGGAGATTTCAGACTGGAAATCAAGTGAGTATTTAACTTGTTTCCATGTCCAGAGTCCACTGGTTGGGGAAGTGCTGTCTTCTTAGGAACAAAGAAAGCTAGGGGAATGGTGCTGCCCTAGGATGAGGGCTGTGATCATTCCTATTACTATTATCTAAAGATAGTACCAGCAGTTTCCATTTATTGAATGCTGACCAGTATTCAAGCATTGTGGTAAACATCTTAAAGGTATTACCTCATTTCATAGTTACAATAACTGCGAAAGGTAGGTAGCATTATCTCAATTTTGCAGCTGAGGAAACTGAGGCTCTAAGAGGTTAAGTAACTTGCCCAAGGTCACCAAGCTGGTAGACCCAGAGCTACAATTTCAACTGGGTGTCAAACACCAGAGTGACGATGACTATACTGTTTATGTTACTTCAAGGCTGGCTCTTCCTGGATATCTTCCATACCTAGTGCAAAGCCCTCTTCAACTGAGGCCAGCCCACCACAGATAACTGCTGTGGGTGTTTGCTTTTTTAGGCTCTTCAGTGAGGAGAGCTTCTGTGAGTGCAGCAGAACCCAGGAAACCACAGGAGGAAGGCCAGCCTGCTCCTGCCCGATGCTTGTCCTCTGACTGCAGCATTGTTCAGGTGCATCACACACTCTTGAAGGAAAAGGTGGACATGTCTATATCTAACAAGCCTATTAAAGTAAACCTTATAAATGGCAGCTCTGTTTATTTCTGGGATAGGGCTGGCTTAAGTTAAATCATTCACTCTTCATAAAGAAAGGAACTGGTAAATCATAATTAAAAAGATTGTGTTCGATCCATTAAGCAAATAATTTTTTTAGACACTCTTGTAAACAACCGGCCTCCTAATTAAAAATATTTCTTAGATGGGGTTGGGCTCAGTGGCTCATGCCTGTAATCCTAGTACTCTGCGAGGCCGAGGCGGGAAGATTGCTCAAGGTCGGGAGTTCGAAACCAGCCTGAGCAAGAGCAAAACCCCATCTCTACTAAAAATAGAATGAAATTAATTGGCCAACTAAAAATATATAGAAAAAATTAGCCAGGCATGGTGGTGCATCCCTGTAGTCCCAGCTACTTGGGAGGCTGAGGCAGAAGGATTGCTTGAGCCCGGGAGTTTAAGGTTGCAGTGAGTTAGGATGACACCACAGCACTCTAGCTGGGGCAACAGAATGAGACTCTGTCTGTAAAAAAAAATATTTCTTAGGTAGTCTTTAAAACGAGACTTCGCCCAGCCTGAGCAAGAGCAAGACCCTGTCTCTACTAAAAATAGGAAAATTAGCCACGTGTCATGGCACATGTCTGTAGTCCCATCTACTCAGGAGGCTGAGGCAGGAGGATTGCTTGAGCCCAGGAGTTTGAGGTTGCTGTGAGCTACTGTAATGCCACTGGCCTCTAGCCAGGGTGACAGAGTGAGACTCTGTCTCAAAATGAAATAAAATAAAATGAGACTTCCCAAGGGCTTCCATTGTGCAACATTTTGCTTATTCTTCTGTGATACTGATATATACCTATGTGTGTGATCAGATTTTAGTCTCACTTGCTAATCATTCCTCAGTTTCCTATTTGTGTCAATAGTTTACTTCTCATCTATGGATGATGTAGGGCCACCAACTGATGGCTAAATGAGTAGTTGCAAGGTTTCCAACCCATGTTCACCTCTCTATATAATACCCTGGGTATTAATTTTTCCTGCCCTTTGAAAGTAATGAAACTTTTGTTTCTTTAACAGCATTATTTAGTTATTTCACTAATGGAGGCTGCCCTCTCCATTTCCCAAGGATGTAAGATTTGTGTGTAATTGTATCAGATAATCCTTTAAAGCTGCGGTCCCCAACCTCTGGGCTGTGGACTGGTACTGGTCCTCTGCCTGTTAGGGACCAGGCCACAGAGCTCCAATATTCCCACCTCCCTGCCCTGTCCAAGGAAAAAATGTCTTTCATGAAACTTAGGAAGGGGGGGGGTGAGTAGTGGGTGAGCCAGCAAAGCTTCTTCTGTATTTACAGCTGCTCCCCATTGCTCACATCACTGCCTGAGCTCTGCACACCACCCCCAACCCAGGCTGTGGAAAAATTGTCTTCCATGAAACCGGTCCCTGGTGCCAAAAAGGTTGGGGACCACTTTAAAGCACTTTAACAGTCTCACTTAAGAGCAAAGTGAGATTACCTTGATTTAGGTGGCATTCGGCCTAGTTTAAAATACCAATATTCCTTATGGGACAGACTCTCTACTTAGGAGTTGAAATATTAGAACTAGTCATCACTCTCCACTGGAAAGGAAATTTCTTCACAGTTGAGACTCTCCAGGGCCTTTGTAAAATTTCACCTTGATATTCCTCAAACTTCCTTGTGAACTTCATGGGTGAACTGGGATATCATTTGGATATTTGTTAGTTTCTACTCAGAATTGCATCTAGGAGCACATTGTTTCTGGTCATTGCATCTAAGACTCTTTCGACTATTACATTTTGGTTGTCATGTAGAATCGTCTTTCTTCCAAATAGGAAAGGAAACCGATTCATTTTCTGTCTGAGGATGAGTTAAATTCTTCTACAAGTTCAACTGATAAGTCAGATGGGGATTCCAAGGAAGGGTAAGTTCTTGTTTTACTGTCTCCCTTTATAAACTGTATCTGTTTGAATTCTAAATGTATATTTATAGTAGTATTCAGACCTGTAGTACTCTCATTGATAATGTAATAAATGGTTCATGGTATATGCTAGAGCTAAAAATATCTCCCCTATGAACACATGTGATTTTCATTCAGAATTTTATAGAATATCTTCTTAGATCTGTAGATTTATAGTTCTCATCAGATTTAGAAAAATTTTAGTCATTTTCTTTCTTTTTTTTTTTTTTTTTCTGAGATGGGTTCTTGCTATATTGTCCAGGCTGGTCTCAAACTCCTAGATTAAAGCCATCCTGGCTGAGCCTCCTGAGTAGCTGGGACTACAGGTGCATGCCACCATGCCTGGCTAATTTTTAAAAATATTTTTAAGAGACAAGATCTTGCTATGTTGCCCAGGCTTGTCTTAAACTCCTGGCCTCAAATGATCCTTATGCCTCAGCCTCCTGAGTAGCTGAGATTACATGTGTGAGCCACTGTGCCCAGCTTGGCCATTATTTCTTCACACATTTGTTTTGGATTTTTTCCTGTTATCTTGGAAATTCCAATTACATATACAGTAGACTGCTTAAAGTCCCACAGCTCACTGATTCTCTGTTTATTCATTTTACTTTTTTGCTCTGTTCCATATTTCACAGATTCTATTGCTGTATATTTTTGAATTCACTAATCTTTTCTTCTGTGGCATCTAATCTGTTAATCCTGTCCCATGGGCTGGGTGCAGTGTCTCACACCTGTAATCCTAGCACTCTGTGAAGCCGAGGCGAGAGGACTGATTGAGGCCAGGAGTTCGGGACCAACCTGAGCAAGAGTGAGACCCTGTCTCTACAAAAAATAGCCAGGCATGATGGTGTGTGCCTGTAGTCCCAGCTACTGTGGAGGCTGAGGCAGGAGGATCACTTGAGCCTAGGAGTTTGAGGTTGCTGTGAGCTGGATGACACCACTACACTCTAGCTGGGGTGACAGAGCAAGAGACTGTCTAAAAAAAAAAAAATCCTATCCCATGTATTTAATACATTGTGTTATTCAACTTTAGAAGTTTGATTTGGGTCTTTTTTTATATCTTTAATACTTCTATCACTCGTGTCACTTTGGGGTCTGTTTCTATTAACTGATTCCTTTCTCTTCACAAATGTGTGATATTTTCCCGATTCTTTGCATGTCTGGTAATTTTTGACTGGTTGCTAGGCACTTAATTTTACCTCATTGGGGCTTTTTTTTTTTTTTTAGTATAGACTGGGCTCGCTCTTGCTCAGGCTGGTCTTGAACTCCTGAGCTCAAGCGATCCTCCCACCTCAGCCTCCCAGAGTGTTAGGATTAGAGTACTGAGCCACCGTGCTTGGGCTACTTTTTGTTTCTTTAAATATTCTTGAGCTTTGTACTTGGGTGTAGTTAAGTTACTTGGAAATGGTTGGGCAGAATTTATACATAGAATCTAGGACTTTCTTTCAGGCCCTCTCCTTTCCAAGATTCCTCTCTTAGTTTCTAGTGGCTGTGGTTGTCCTAAAATCTGATCTACCTATGGTCTGCCCTTAGGCTTAAAGGTGTTGACTTCTTTCTAAGATCTGCCTGCAGATTTTGTATATTCTCCATTGCCTTCACATAGTTTTTATTTATTTATTTATTTTGAAACAAGATCTCACTCTGTTTCCCAGGCTAGAGTGCAGTGGCATCAGCCTAGCTCACAGCAACCTCAAACTCCTGGGCTAAAGTGGCTAAAGTGATTCTCCTGCCTCAGCCTCCTGAGTAGCTGGGACTCCAGATAATTTTTTCTATTTTTGGGAGAGGCGGGGTCTCGCTGTTGCTCAGGCTGGTCTGGAACTCCTGACCTCAATCAATTCTCCCACCTTGGCCTCCCAGAGTGCTAAGATTACAGGCGTGAGCCACTGAGCCTGGCCAGCCTTCACATAGTTGATTTTTGTATTTTGTCCACAGTGTATAGTTGTTGAGGGTCAGTCTGTAGGCGTTTACTTGGGCATTTGGCAGCAGAACTTCCTAAAGTTTGTTTTGCATCTAATTTTTAATGAAAAATTCTCATGAAGCCAATTAAATAACAAAGGATTTTTTATTTTTGTTTTTCAGAAAAGGTCATACAAATGAAATGAGTGCCTTGGTACAATTGATGACTCAGACCCTAAAATTGGATTCTAAAGAGAGCTGTGACGATCTCCCAGTACCAAATCCAGTGTCAGAATTTAAACTTCATCGGAAGTATCGGGACACACTGATACTTCATGGGAAAGTTGCAGAAGAGGCAGATGATCTCCATTTTGAAGAGCTACCTTCAGGTGATCAGTTCATTCATTTACAGCAAGCTGGGAGCATGTGTTTTTGGAGAAATGTGTCAAGGAGCTAATGCTTATACATTTTTTTTTGGTATTTTCATTATTTCCTTTGGATATCTCCATAAAAGGTATATCTTGTTTTATGTAAGAGATGTATTCCTGAAAAGTTACATGAAAATTGATTTTTAAAAATAAATGTAAATAAATAAATGTTTGAGATTTTTCATGTGGATTTTCTTCAAGTTGGTTGTGGTTTATTTAGGGTTAGAAGGTGGTAGTGGTGGTAGTGAGATATAAAGCTCAAGTTTATATATACATTTTTAGTCATTAAAATATAAATGAAGTCATTAAATCAAACTCTTATCAAAGGGAAAAGAATCTTAAGATTAAAAAAAAATTGTGTTGTAATTGCTATAGTGGTGAAAGTGGTTATTTTTCCCTGTCTTTGTTATTTCTTTTTAGCTAACATGCCAGGTTCTGAAAAGATCAAGAGAATAGTTGAAGTTTTGAGAGCTGATGTAATTCAGGGCCTCGGAGTTCAGCTTTTAGAACAGGTGTATGATCTTTTGGAAGAGGAGGATGAATTGGAGAGGGAGGTGAGTATTCCATTAGCAGTGTCAGGCTGCTCATGTTACAGAATTTTTTAAATCTTTTGAAATATAATTCACATAACATACAATTCACTCATTTAAAGTGTATAATTCAGTGGTTTTTAATATATTCACAGAGGTGTATAACCATTGCCACAATAAATATTAGAACATTTTCATGAACCCCAAAGAAATCCTGTACCCATTAGCAGTCATTCCCCATTGTCTCTTAAGTCTCCCACCCCTAAGCAACCACTAATACTTCCATCTCCATAGATTTGCCTATTCTGGACAATTCATATAAATGGAGTGATAGAAAAACGTACTTTTGGTGATTTGCGTCTTTCCCTGAGTATAATGTCTTCAAGATTCATCCATGTTGTAATGTAGCATGTACTACTTCATTCCTTTATATGGCCAAATAATATTCCATTGCATGGATTTTGTTTATTCATCAGCTGATAGACATTGGGTGGTTTCCACTTTTTGGCTATTGTGAATGCTGCTGCTGTAGGTCAGGCGCGGTGGCTCATGCCTGTAATCCTAGCACTCTGGGAGGCCGAGGCCGGTGGATTGCTCGAGGTCAAGAGTTCAGGCCAGCCTGAGCAAGAGCGAGACCCCGTCTCTACTATAAATAGAAAGAAATTAATTGGCCAACTAATATATATAGAAAAAATTATCCGGCACGTTGGCGATGCCTGTAGTCCCAGCTACCTCAGGAGGCTGAGGCAGCAGGATTGCTTGAGCCCAGGAGTTTGAGGTTGCTGTGAGCTAGGCTGACGCCACGGCACTCATGCTAGCCTGGGCAACAAAGCGAGACTCTGTCTCAAGAAAAATAATAATAATAATAATGATAATGCTGTAAACACTCATGTACAAAATTTTTTTTTTTGAGACACAGTCTCGCTTTGTTGCCCAGGCTAGAGTGAGTGCCGTGGCATGAGCCTAGCTCACGGCAACCTCAAACTCCTGGGCTCAAGCAATCCTTCTGCCTCAGCCTCCCGAGTAAGCTGGGATACATGCCCGCTAATTTTTCTGTATAATTTAGTTGCCAATTAATTTCTTTCTGTTTCTAGTAGAGACGGGGTCTCACTTTTGCTCAGGCTGGTTTCAAACTCCTGACCTTGAGCAATCCTTCTGCCTCGGCCTCCCAGAGTGCTAGGATTTATACTTCTTATATATTGCTGCACTCAGATTTCCAGAATTATTCTTTTTTTTTTTGGAGACAGAGTCTCGCTCTGTTGCCCAAGCTAGAGTGCCATGGCATCAGCCTCGCTTACAGCAACCTCAAACTCCTGGGTTCAAGTGATCCTCCTGCCTCAGCCTCCCAAGTAGCTGGACTACAGGCATGTGCCACCGTGCCTGGCTAATTTTTTCTATTTTTAGTTGTTTGGCTAATTTCTTTCTATTTATAGTAGAGACAGGGTCTCGCTCTTGCTCAGGCTGGTCTCGAACTCCTGAGCTCAAGCAATCCTCCCACCTCGGCCTCCCAGAGTGCTAGGATTACAGGCATGAACCACCGCGCCTGGCCTCTAGTATTCTTCGTAAGGATTTTTGTGTCTATATTCATATGATATATTGTCATTAATTTTCTTTTCTTGTGATGTCTTTGGTTTTGTTATCAGTGTAAGACTGGCTTCATAGATTGAATGTTGGAGTGCTCCCTCATCTTCTATTTTTTTTGGAAGATTTAGTGAAGAATTGATATAATTCTCAGAATGTTTGATAGAATTCCCCAGTGAAGGCATCTGGGCCTGGGCTTTTCTTTGTGGGTAGTTTTTTCTTTGGGCCATGAATTCAGTGTCTTTACTTGTTTGGTTTTTTTTTTTTTTTTTTTTGTTGAGACAGAGTCTCACTCTGTTGCCCAGGCTAGAGTGAGTGCCATGGCGTCAGCCTAGCTCACAGCAACCTCAAACTCCTGGGCTCAAGCAATCCTGCTGCCTCAGCCTCCCGAGTAGCTGGGACTACAGGCATGCGCCACCATGCCCGGCTAATTTTATATATATATTAGTTGGCCAATTAATTTCTTTCTATTTATAGGTAGGGACGGTCTTTCTTTGCTCAGGCTGGTTTCGAACTCCTGACTCGGCAATCCGCCCGCCTCAGCCTCCCAGAGTGCTAGGATTACAGGCGTGAGCCACCGCGCCCGGCCATACTTGTTTGGTTTTTTTTGAGACAGAGTCTCACTGTCTTACCCGGGGTAGAATGCCGTGGCATCAGCATAGCTCACAGCAACCTCAAACTCCTGGGCTCACGCAATCCTCCTGCCTCAGCCTACCAAGTAGCTGGGACTACAGGCATGTGCCACCATGCCTGGCTAATTTTTTTTTTTTTTTTTTTTTTTTTTGAGACAGAGTCTTACTTTGTTGTCCAGGCTAGAGTGAGTGCGGTGGCGTCAGCCTAGCTCACAGCAACCTCAAACTCCTGGGCTCGAGTGATCCTTCTGCCTCAGCCTCCCGAGTAGCTGGGACTACAGGCATGCGCCACTATGCCAGCTAATTTTTTTATATATATATCAGTTGGCCAATTAATTTCTTTCTGTTTATAGTAGAGACGGGGTCTCGCTCTTGCTCAGGCTGGTTTTGAACTCCTGACCTTGAGCAATCCGCTCCTCGGCTCCAAGAGCTAGGATTACAGGAGTGAGCCACAGAGCCCGGCCTAATTTTTTTATATATATGTTTTTAGTGAGCCAATTAATTTCTTTCTAATTTTTGTAGAGATAGGGTCTCACTCTTGCTCATCCTGGTTTTGAACTCCTGACCTTGAGTAACTCCTGACTCCTCCTCCCGCCTCGGCCTCCCAGAGTGCTAGGATTACAGGCGTGAGCCACCATGCCCAGCCTCTTTACTTGTTATATTAAGGTTGTCTATTTCCTCTTCAGTGAGTTGTTTGTATCTTTCTAGGATTTTTTCTACTTCATATAAGTTATCTAACTGGCACATAATCGTTCATAGTATTCTTTTACAATATCTTTTATTTCTGTAAGGTTTGTTATTTGGGAATCTGTGGTTTAATTTTCACATATTTGGGAATTTCCCCAATTTCTCTCTGTTATTTATTTCTAATTACATTTCATTGTGGTTAGAGAACATACATTCTATTCTTTTAAAGTTATTGAGCTCTGTTTTATGGCCTACCATATGGTTTAACCTGGAGAGTGTTCGTTATGCACTTAGAAGAATGTATATTTTGATGTCACAGTGTGGAATGTTTATAGATGTCTGTTAAGTCTAGTTTGTTTAAAGTGTCCAAATCTTCTATTTCCTTACTGATCTTCTGACTAGTTGTTTTACCCATACTTTAAAATGAGATATTGGTGTCTCCAACTATTATTGTTTAATTGTTTATTTCTCTCTTCATTTTAGGTTTTGCTTCATATATTTTGGTGCTCTGATTAGGTGCATATATGTGTGTAATTATTATATCTTCCTGATGGATTGACCTTTTTATCATTATAACATGTTCCTCTTTATAGTAACATTTTTTTTGTTTTAAAGTCTATTTTATCTGATATTAGTATAGATTTCTTGTGGTTGCTGTTTGTATGATATATCATTTTCCATCTTTTTATTTTCAATCTGTTTGTATCTTTGAATTAAATGTGTGTCCTGTAGCAGCATATACCGCGTTTTCCCGAAAATAAGACCTACCCATAAAATAAGCCCTAGCAGGATTTCTGAGCATTTGCACAATATAAGCCCTACCCCAAAAATAAGACCTAGTGATGGGCGTGGCTGCGCAGCCTATCTGCACAACCCATGCATCATGTCACGGAGTGGTAAAGGCGGCGAGCAGCCCTTCTCATCTGCCCCATGAGAGCTCTATTGCTTGACATGAGAGATCGAGGCCAATGGTTCTAAAGGAGATAGAGTTGTAAGAAATTCAGGATGGAATTCAGGGTTTGGAGAGTTATGATGATGTTCCAGAAGATGACAACTTAACTATATTTGAATAAATGTAGATTGTTTCATGATCATGCACTCTCCTTCCAACATGCGGATGGTTCTAAAGGAGATAGAGTTGTAAGAAATCAGGATGGAATTCAGGGTTGGAGAGTTATGATGATTGTTCAGAAGATACAATTAACTATATTTGAATAAATGTAGATTGTTATACTGTACTTAAAAAAAAACACTCCTGAAAAAAGCTTAGGGTGTCTTCTTGAGGAAAAATAAATATAAGACCCTGTCTTATTTTCGGGGAAACACGGTATTGGATCTTGTTTTCTTTTTTCTTTTTCTTTTTTTTTTTTGAGACAGAGTCTCACTCTGTTGCCCAGGCTAGAGTGAGTGCCGTGGCGTCAGCCTAGCTCACAGCAACCCTCAAACTCCTGGGCTCAAGCAATCCTCCTGACTCAGCCTCCCAAGTAACTGGGACTACAGGCATGTGCCACCATGCCCGGCTAATTTTTTTCTATATATATTAGTTGGCCAATTAATTTCTTTCTATTTGTAGTAAAGACGGGGTCTTGCTCTTGCTCAGGCTGGTTTTCTAGATGCTATGTTTAGAGCCTATGTTTAG